CCAAAAAAAAAAAAGTGCCTTTTTAGAAAGAGATAAAGTTTTTCACCCAAGCTGGGGTTTTACTTAGCAAGGACCCAAGTCTGGAGAGCAGACTGTGGAGTGAAGCCCAGAGCAGGGGAGGTGGAGATGGATGACGGATGACAAGGGGAATTCCCAACAACACAGGAGGAGGCAAAGATCTTCCAGCGTGGGGGTGGTGCTGTGAGTAATTCAGAGAAAACTGGACCCTGGCTGAAGACACTGTCTGAGTCCCTGGGGCTGGACCCAGCTTAGAATAAGATAGCACAGACCCCAGGTAGGGTGGTTAAAGAGAAAAAGAAAACACAACAGAGGGGGTTTGAGAAGAGGATGCCTCACAGATGACCAGAACAACCACAGGAGTAGATGGAAATGGATGCAGGATATTCAGAGATCCTTGAGGAAGGGGCCTCCTGAGAAGCCAATGGACCTCGGGACCCCAAAAGGCTGATGTTATGGCAGAGAAAGGGCAGCTTGTGTGGCTTCATGACTAGAACCAGAAGGGACCATGACCATCAGCAGTGGAGGCCAGCATTAGCCCAAAGAGTAACTGGGCCCTATTTCATCAACGGCTCTGGCTCTAACCCCACCTCAGCCAACAGATGTCTTTAGAAGTCACTTAGGGAAAAGGAATGGAACAAATCTAAAATGACTACTTGTCCCAAAATGATTAGATAACTCTTCCAACCAGGCAGAGCATCCTTAAATACAATCTAGGAGTGCACCATCCACGTCAAAATTCAATGTCATTGTCAGTGAATATTATTGTAAGTTTTGACTGACCACTAACTCCCATTGTTTGTGCAAATAGCATTCAGTCATGTAAGGATTGATTCTGTACAAGTGAATAACCAAGATATTGCGATATGTAGTTAACCTACACTTGTTCAATCTCCCTCTCTCAATAGTGTTTTAAAATTAGTACCAAGGGCCAATCAGTGACACTATGAATAGCAGTCCTTGTGCTCTAGGGAGAGGATCAATAAGATCCTCTCCCATAAGTTTACAAGGATTCTCTAAAGTGAACCAGGGGCAGATAAAAAACATAGATTCAAGATGGATTTTGGGTTTGCACTTAATCCTAATTCCAATCTAAGAACAATTAGTTCTTACGACATGATCCTGCTTGATACTCACCCTCATAAAGAAAACACAGAAGATTTGGGTGCTACAGCAAAATGTTGTGAAGAAACTAGATGGTGCCCGGCTATCAGATAGAGCAGTGTCTGAGGTCTTAAAGGCTTGTTTCCAAACAAGCAGCTAATGAAGCAAGACATCAACTAAACCCACATGGAAGCAGGATGTACCCAGGGAATACGCTTCTGGTGATTCCCGTTTAACTACAATTGAGGTATGGGAATAACCTGGTTATCAGATGAGAATATTAGAGAGATGACTATAGTTGATTAAAATGATAAATCTGACTTGAATAGTTAAAATCTTGTCGCTTGATCTCCCTTCTGATACACTTTGGGCTTTATCTTTTAACATTTTCAGTGTGTTTTTTCATATTGGGATTTATTTCTGTATTTTGTCACTGTTGGTAGCCTTCTTGACTCTGTGCTATGTGTTTCTCTATGGTTTTCGGTACATGAGAACCAGGATGGGTGAATCTATTGAGACAACAACTAGAATACGTGTTCCTGGGGGGTAGAGCGGGGGAGGAGGGGAATTAAGGAGGAGCTAATATCAAAGAGCTCAAGAAGGAAGAAAATATTTTGAAACTGATTTTGGTAGCAATTGTACAGCACTGAACTATGGAATGGTACGATGTCGGGATAAGCTTCTAATAAAATGTTTTGGAAAGAAAAATCAATGTCAATATTAACATCTGTCCCCCACCCTATGTTCTCTTATATGCAGACTCCAGTTTGAAGACCACCTTTAAACAACTAATAGAAATGCAAACTTAAGTGCAGGCATCCCTTTGGAAAGAATTCTCTAGATCAGTGGTTCTCAGCCTTCCTTGTGCCACGACCCTTTCATACAATTCCTCATGGGGTGGTGACGCCCCAACCAGAAAATGATTTTCGTTGCTACTTCATAACTGTCATTTTGCTACTGTTATGAATCATCATGTAAATATCTGGTATGCAGGATGTATTTTCATTGTTACAAATTGAACATACTTAAGGCATAGTGATTCATCACAAATACAATATGTAATTATATATTTTGAAATGTTTATTTTAATGACAAATAGATGAAATTTTGTCTTGAAGCATGGTGTAACATGTGTAACAGTCTTCACGCAGGGTACTCATAGGTGGGGGTACCTGCATGTGGGTGGACCCGCCTGGAGACGGATAGAGGAGCACTGTCTCGGTTCCTAAGACCACCGGAAATATGTGTTTTCTGATGGTCTTAGGCAACCCCTGTGAAAGGGTCGTTCAACCCCCAAAGGGGTTGCGACCTATAGGTTGAGAACCACTGCTCTTGAGGCTCCTAGCTCTAAGTCTTCCCAGGGCCCTTGAAGTTAACCAGACAACTGAATCCGGGGAGGGAGTGGCTCTGAGGTCGATTCAACCACCTGGCATTGCCTCCTTGTCTGTCGACTGGATAATTGCTCACGAAGATGTGTAATAGTTTCCACCTCTGCCCTGTGAAGGCTGATAGAGGAGGGTTACACGATTGCCTGCTTTGCATCTGCTCCTCTTACTGTGAAAGGCACATTCACACCTTCTAATGCCCATCCCTGCCCAGTTTCCATATGACTGTTGGACTCAACCTGTTCCTCCCCAGCTTCTGCGGGCATTACCTTCGTTGATGATCTGTTTGGCTGCAATGGCTGAGGAGAGGTGAATGGGCTCCATGAAGATGCTTTCTGTCTCGGCATCTGAGACCATTGAGTACCTAAGAAAAAGGACATTCACGTGAGATGACCCTGGGCAGAGTCTGAACTGAAGACATGTTTTCACAAGGAGAAGCCTGGTTTTGACTTTAGCCACCTGTGGAGAACAGGGTGAAAAAGGCAAACACAAGACCTTCCCAAACTGAGGGGTCCTGGGAAGGGAGGACATTGGGCACCCTGCTCAATGGCCCTTCCATTTGTAAGGCACTTGAGTTGATGTTGAATAGCACGGAGTCTGGGTTGTGGAGGGAAAAGAGTATGTTTGTGGTTGTTACGAATTCACCCTAATGTGGTCTCTCTTTCTCTACTGTGCTCCCGCCGTTAACTGATCATTTTTGCTTTCCTGTTCCCCAGGTTCCTCTGCTCCTTATATCACAGCATATTCCTAACGCTGTCTCTTCGAGGGCTCGGTTGGGCTGGTTGGGCTGGGTAGCCTTACCATCACTCCCTTCATGGGAAAGGGCACAGCACCAGGAGAACTGCCAAAGATGTCCTCAAACACACAGGCCGTGGTTCTGAGCACAAGATATCCAGCATCAGGGGCAAGTGGATAAAGTTACTTGACGTAATGGTCAAGGCAATGTCCCAGAATGAATTCATCAAAAGTTTCCAAGTGAATTTCTGGGGAACATGGAGAACCTAGCACAGAGACTGCAGCCCAAGGGTAGAGGTGGGTCCTCTCCTTCGGAGTGAATTCTCCTGTTTTCCAGGTTTTAGAGTAAGCTTTGGGTATTTCTTTCTTTCTTTCTTTTTTTTCCTTGCTCTTTCCTTTAGCTCCAGATAGGGTTTTTGTTTTCTTTTGTTTTTTAAGTAGGGGAATTTGATAAATACAATTTTTGAGCAACTTTCTTAATTCTGACAAATCCCTCAAAATAAGTGGTTCAGAAAGATTAAGAAAAGTGCTCACCACGGTAGCACATTCCAGAGCTACGTTGCAAACATAGAGGTCAATCTTGCTCTTCAGTCAGTCGTCTGTCTACCACGCACATGGTTATCATTTGCATTGGAATGAGGGGTGAGTCAGGTGGTGGAAGCAACTCCAGCCAGACCCCCAGGCTGAACAGAGAATGTGATACAAGGAAATACGCACAACATATTTGTTGAAAGCACGGACGGATGGGTAGACAGAGGGGTGATAAAGTTTGTTGACTTCCTCTAGTTCCTAAAGGTTTCCTCCCCGCTCCCACTACCATGACTCAAATTCTATCTTGCAAGACTGGCTAGACC